CTTTTTATGTCAATCCCACAATGTCACATTTCTCCCCTCATGTCACATTTCTGCCCCTCCATGTAACATTTCTCCCCTCATGTCACATTTCTGCCCCTCCATGTAACATTTCTCCCCTCATGTCACATTTCTGCCCCTCCATGTAACATTTCTCCCCTCATGTCACATTTCTGCCCCTCCATGTAACATTTCTCCCCTCATGTCACATTTCTGCCCCTCCATGTAACATTTCTCCCCTCATGTCACATTTCTGCCCCTCCATGTAACATTTCTCCCCTCATGTCACATTTCTGCCCCTCCATGTAACATTTCTCCCCTCATGTCACATTTCTGCCCCTCCATGTAACATTTCTCCCCTCATGTCACATTTCTGCCCCTCCATGTAACATTTCTCCCCTCATGTCACATTTCTGCCCCTCCATGTCACATTTCTCCCCTCATGTCACATTTCTGCCCCTCCATGTCACATTTCTCCCCTCATGTCACATTTCTGCCCCTCCATGTCACATTTCTCCCCTCATGTCACATTTCTGCCCCTCCATGTCACATTTCTCCCCTCATGTCACATTTCTGCCCCTCCATGTCACATTTCTCCCCTCATGTCACATTTCTGCCCCTCCATGTCACATTTCACCCCCTCGTGTCACATTTCACCCCCTCATGTCACATTCCCCCCCCTCCATGATGGCCATCACGCCTTTCTTTTTACCCTGCCCTGTTCACATCTCTCATTTCCATAGTTAGGCACACTTAATTCATAATCACCACCCCCCCCTCCCATGATGGCCATCAGTCACCCCTTTCTTTTTGCCCTGTTCACAGTTCACATCTCTCATATGAGTACATAATTCATAATCATCCCCTCCCTCCATGATGGCCATCAGTCACCCCTTTCATTTGTCTCTCCCTGGCCCTGCCCACATCTCTCATTTCCAAGTTCCAGAGGCATATAGTTCATATTCATCCCCTCCCCCCCTCCATTCCCCCCCAACCCTTCCTTTTTCTGTCACAGAAATTGAGTCCCCAGAGGCAGGCAGGCCAGGCCATTGCTACACCTACCGGATGACACGCTGCTGATTTGGGAGGCACAGTCTTCTTCTGAGGGCGGCAGACAGAGAGAGGATGCTGCCTCGCCGCCGCGGCGCTACACAGAAAGTCACGCCCCCCCTATACCACATGACCCGACTGGAGCTGTGTGGAGCCGGCCGCCGGGGCTGCACACAGGGCGCGCACTGACAGAGGCTAGCTGCAGAGTCCTGACTTTTGGGGCGGCCGCCCGAGAGGAGGGAGGGGAGCGGGCGCCCGGCACACAGAAGAGCCGCATTAAAGTGTGTAAAGAGCCGCATGTGGCTCCCCCGCCGCCGCCCGCCCAAATAAATTTCAATCGTGGTTTTGGCGAGATTTGGCTCAGTTGAAAAAAAAGGTTGCCCACCACTGGTCTATGTAATCACGTGATGTTTTTACTATTATATTAATTTCTTCTTCCCCATATTGTTATGCTCATTGTTTGCAATCTTGTTTCCAATTAAAATGTAAACTCTTTGGGACTGCGACCATATTTTTAAAGCCATGGGCCTCTAGTCCTGATTGGCATCACTGTAATGTCTACTGTACAACTAAATAATAATAATAATCCATTTACAAATCTGTAGAGTAAAAGAGGAAGATACTCACTTCATGCAGTAACAACTGTCCTTCGAGGTGTGTGTCTCCATAGGTGCTCCACCATTGGTGACGAATCATCCCTGGAGCCTCAGTATGGAGCTTTTCCCTAGCAGTTTACTGTTGGGCCTCGGAAGGGTGGGAGGCGGCTTGCACCATTGGTGGTTTGACAGCTGCCTCACAAGTAGCCTAACCCCTCCTCTTCAGTTCCTTGTTTCTGCCCAAGTATATGTAACTCTGATTAGCTGTGTCCACGACCAGAGAATCTGGTTGTGGATAAGAGAAGAGAAATTCTAGATTCTTAGGGGGAAAAAGTATTTGTGGTCCAGCTTTTTGCAGGTTGGTTGGATGGAAGCAGGTGTCTGCAGATGTCATCAGATACCTCCATAATCGCCTTGTCAATTGGCAATGCTATTTGCCCCTGGGCAGCTGGGTGTATGTTTTTTAAAAGGCAATGTTGCTTCTCCTTTAATTCTTGGAGCTGGAACTCCTGAGAGGTGGACACCTTTTTGAAGAGCTCTTGGAATTGTTTTAAATCATCAGAGGCATGACTATCCTCTGGAATTACAGCATCCTCTGGGGACAAGGATGAATTTTTGCCCAGAGAGTTATGAGGCATCTGCATATCGATGTTATCCCCTGGGATGTGACACTCCTCCTCCTCAGAGTCAATTGTGGTGGGAATAGTGTGAGATGGTGAGGCTAGAGGGAGCCCTTTCGAGGAAGTAGCTGATTCTATGGCGGAGCGTCTACAGGATTCCCACTGCTCCCATGGGGCCCAACGGGAATGGTAGTGAGGGAGGGGATAGTGCCATTCAGGATACCATGGGGTGTGGAATGGTCTGTCATTGTAACAATAGTATTGTTCAGATGAGGTTGGGGAGAAGTGTTGTAAAGAGAAAACACTCCTCTGGTCATAATAATGAAGCCCTTCATGCAGTGATGGAGACCTGGTATAGTCCCTGCATGAACGAGAGGAAGGGGGCACTAGGGAAGGCTCCCTTCAAAGGGGAAGAGAGTTTAAAGATATATCATTGGTACCCCATGTTGTTAAATTGGGGTTACTGGTGGCTAGGTCAGAATGGTGAGGGAGCACTGATGGTCGCCCATCTGACAGCGTCTCTGAGGCATGAGAGCCATGTGAGAATGACAGCCCATCCTAGGGCAGTACTGGAGTCTTACAGAATCACTTGACAGGCAGCTCCCCGCTCCATCCCAGTGCTATGCTTGTAAGCGCTGTTGGTGGCAGTGTCGATGTGTGGCAGCATGTTTTTTCCAGTGCCGAGAACAAGTGTGATGGCCCCACTTCTGTTGCGGTCACTATGCCTGTAGAGGGTGCTGGCACCGCAGTTGTAAAGGTGCTCGGTCCATATCCCCATGTCCCACTGGGGGTCAGCATAGGAGGCAATGATCTCGAGGGGGAAGGCTTCCTGCCCCGACTTTTACTGGGGTTAACAGGTACCTCTGTCTCAGGATCTCCCACAGAGCGGGTAGACTGAGGTTTCTCTGAAGGCTGCAACACCTTTTCAAAGAGTATCATCCAGCTCTAGCTCCAGGTCCTTTCTGGCTGACAAGCTGTGGCTATGGTCATATTTTTTAGATGAGTATGGCTCACTCAGGCAGCATATACAGTCAGAAGTAGGCATAGGCTCCTTACATTCTTGACACTTCTTAAAAGGTGTCATGCTGAGGAGATGTCAGAAGGCTGAAGGCTATAATTAGCTCCCCACTGTTATCAGCTGTTAACAGTGGGAGCCTCTGCCCCTCTATATTTATTTATGTTCTCTCTCTCTCTCCCAGTGCCCACTCTCTGACAAAATAATAAACTTAAAAAAACAACAAATGGTCTGGTAGCACTTTATAGACTAAAAAACCATGTAGATGGTATCATGAGCTTTTGTGGGCACAGCCCACTTCTTCAGATGACAAGAGTTTTACCCGTCATCTGAAGAAGTGGGTTGTGCCAACGAAAGCTCATGATACCATCTACATGCTTTTTTAGTCTATAAAGTGCTACCAGAGCATTTGTTGTTTTTTAAGTTTATCCTGTACAGACTAACTCGGCTACACACTAAACAATAGATAGTAAGGGAAGAAAGGGGAGAGGAGAAGGGTGGCTGGCTGAGGAGAAGCGGAGCTGCTGCTTCTGAAGTGGTCCGAAAGGACTGAAAGGAAAAAAATCTTTTTTTTAATGTTTTATAGAAAGGAATAAAAAGAGGATAAATTCCGAGGCAAAAATTGAAAGAAGCAAGCGCTAGTCTAAGGGAATGTCTCTGAGGAGAGAGATAGCTGAGGATCTCTGTCTGAGACTGAGGGTGGTAAGAGAGGAACTGAAGAAGAGAGGTTGGGCCGCGCATGAGGCAGCTGTCAAACCGCCAATGGTGCGAGCCGCCTTCCGCGCTTGCATGGCCCAACAGTAAACTGCTAGGGAAAAGCTCCGAACTGAAAGCTCTGGGGATGACCGAGTACCAACAGTGGAGTACCCACAGGGACATCACCTGAAGAACGAATATGTTAAGTGCATCTGGATTAGACCATAAGGACAGGTAAAATGTTCTGTGAGATATGGCACAAAAATGTAAACAGCTGTACTTTGTATACTTATACTTTCTAAACTATTAAGATGAAGTCCCATGGAATCCAATTTAGTGCTAAGAAATTCATGAATTACCACCTCCAAGGGAGGGGGGAATATGCAAAGAAGAAGACTGTAAACTGTTGACCTGGGGGAATATGGATCAGCATTCATGTCACTCTACCTATCAGTACCTGGCCTGGCCTAGGAAAGCTAATGATCCAACCAGCAGATTAAATTTGGTGATCACGTGTCATCTGAGACATGTTGTGAATATGCTAAGAAGGCTGTTGACTTGGCACAAGTAGTAAAAAGTGCTCCAACCACTGATGTTATTGACTCCTTCTGATGGCTTGGAAAATAACTCTGTTGTGAGCCTGAGTGGGCAATCAAAACTGAATGAGCCTGTTCATCTAAACCATTCCTTTTGGCTATTTTTCCCTATCTAACCAGAATTATTTTGACCTGATTGAATCTGTAACTCAGTACAAAAATGGAAAGACAAATCTCAAGGAATTAGCATGAACACTGGATTTTCAAACTGGCAGGTAGAAAACACCAACCAATAAAATCAGCAATGTTCATTTCTTAAGGGATAGTCATGTCCATAAAAGAGATGAGTAATTTTAGACTTAAATACAAAATAAAGCACATAGAATTTTTTTTAAAAGGTCTAAAGCGAGAAAAAAATCTTTCTTCACTAGATGTGTATTTTTATATGTCATGATTTTATTTATTGCAATAAGAAAGCTCATGATATATGAAAAGGATGCATCTGCAGTTAGAATTGGGTGAAAGATTTTGGATGAAAAGTTATTTAATCAATAAATGCAGTTACAGGTCATCCAAAACTAATAATCAATTCAGCAAATAGTTTTGTCTGAAAAAAAGTATCTTGGTTCAATGTTTTCAACTCATTTCAAAGAGATGCTTTGTCTTGAAATTCATAGATTCTAAGGTCAGAAAGTATCATTATCATGATCTAGTCTAACCTTTATAATTTAGGGCATAGAATGCCTCAAAAATAATTCCTTGAGGATATCTTTTAGAAAAAACATCGAATGTTGATTGTGAAATGTTTAGTGATGGAGAACCCACCATGACTCTTGGTCAGCAGTCCCAATAGTTTATTACTCTCATTGTTCAAAATGTACAGTACATCTTATTTCCAGTGTGACTCCCTTGAGCATCAACTTCTAACTATTGGATTGAGTTACACTGTTGTCTGCTAGGAAGAAAAGCCCATTATTAAATATTTGTTTCCCATAAGGTATTTACAAAGTACAATCAAGTTACCTTTTAACCTTTTTTATGTTAAGCTAAATAGATACAGTAATAGCCTCATGGAATTAAAATATATGTTTTCTAATCATTCTTGTGGTTAGTCTGTGAACCCTCACCAATTGATCAACATCCTTCTTGAATCATGGGCACCAGAACTGGACACAATATTCCAGCAGCAGTTGCACCAGTTCCAAGTACAGAGATGAGATAAAATATAATTTAGCTAGATTTATTTAAAAACCAAAATAATAGATAAAAACACCCTGAAAAACTAAGCTAAACAGAAAAAAACTATTTGGCACTAAACAAAATATTTCGTTCAACCCCAAATGATTGCCCCCCCGCCCCCGTCCCACTTATGTTTGTTTTAACAACAAAATTTTTTCCACCTCAGGTGAACTCAAATAAAATTATTTTTGGCTATTTTGTTTTAGCCACTGAAGGAAAAAAAAGTTATTTGCTCACCTTTACTCATAGCAAAACCAAATTAATTAATGTCAATGGCTAAATACGTCTAATTACAATAAAAATTGTACTGAATACATACCCATGATTCCCCAGCAAGGCACAAACTTAGGTTAGATATCACTTATCGTTTATTTACATTTATAATTATAAGCAACATTCTTGTTTTTTACTTGATTCTAACAAACTAAGGTCTCAGGTCTACAATCAATAGTACCCCACTACAGCATTCCACCTCCACAGCAGAGTCAGAATTTAAGGGCCTGCTCCAAAGCACACTGAAGTTTATTGGAAAATTTTCACTGACTTCAAATTGGCTTTGAATCAGGCTCTTTACGGTCATCATTTTGCACTCCTTACTCATGTGGAGCTTCTAGTGGGGTCAGTGGGAATTCTGCCCAAATACGAAGTGCAGCAGCTGATTCTAATTATTTAAATGTATCCTTTCCTATGACTGAAGTAAATTACTGAAGTCCCACTTTAATGAGAAAAATTGATTTTTAGAATCACAGTATGTTTCGAGAACAGAAATGAGAAATATACTTCACATATACTTCACAGTTTTAACAATACAAACGATTTTTTTGAATTAGTGTAAAAAGATGTAGTGTTTGGGTTTTTTTAATATTCCTTTTCAGAAGCTAGACTGATCTTCAGAAACAATTTAAAAAAATGTTAAGCAGCATTCCTATGACTCAGTATTGACAGTGATGGTAAATAACAAAGGTGGTGATAAATAAAGTTCTAAAGCCCCCATTGCAGCAATGCACTTGATTGTGCACTAGAGGGATGCAGATAGATTTTCATATGCACTTAAGTGCTTTGCTAAATCAGGGGCCAAATTACAGCCTTTTCCTGTATCAAAATACTAATAAAATATATGGACACATGATGACATCTCTTGTAATCACAACTTCATTTGTCTATTATATTGATAATAGGCCACTGAAGGTTACAAAGATGACAATTAAGGCATAATTTAATATTGAGAATTTCTTCGAATGATTTTCTTATTTCTAATATTGTGAACCAATAATAATGATTAAAAAAAATCAAATGAAGTCACCTGCACGTAAGTTTCTACTAAACATTGCTTCATGTCAGTCTTGATAAATGATACAGTCACATATTTTAAAAAGGAGAGATGTTTGTAATTTGCAGAATAATTTTGTAGAATCATGTATCACATGTTTTCATTGCTGTTTACATTGTCACTTTCACCCTTGTGCTCTGAAATGACTGGTTCTTCCTTTAATAAAATGCTTAATTGCTTCTGTGCACATGAGAGGAACAGTTCCAAACTAGACAGGCTACGTTGGCGGACAACATGATCGAGCTGTTGGAAAAAACAATAAAAGAAAGAAAGGATGAATTAACAAAGAAACTAGAAATAAATAAATAAATACATAAATACCAAATTGTAAATAAAACCATTTTGAAATTAAATGCATTGAGCACATGTAGGATTTTAATGACACAATGAAATTTAATCACATGCCCATATATCTGTTTTTCCTCTAGCTAAAATGAATAAATGGCTACAGATAATATTAAAATGTTCAGATTAATAAATATTGTGGGGAGACTGACAGAAACACATACTGTAAATGCTAGATGGTTAGTGTCAAAAAATTAAAACACCCTGTGCTGTCTTCATCTGGACATTTTTAAGTTGCCAGCCTAGCCACAAGGTATACACAGCAAAATTACTGGGGTTGGTCCTTTGTATTAGAACATCCCATCTTTGACAGCTCTCCAACACAACACTTTATTCATTTTCCCATGCACTGTTAGCAGTTCCTAAAATAATAATCAATGATGCATTTTCAGAAGTGACCAGTCAGTATAATTTTCTCCAAAAGAACAATCTGACTCCAGCCAAATTACATAATTGAAATTTTTTTAATAGTAGTTAGCATTTAAAATATTATTACAACTTAAACAGTCTGTAAAAGTGCTATAAAAGTTTAATGTACCCTGAATGAATTCTAAAGGAAAGAGAGACTACCAGAGTACAATAAAATAGTTTGGGTATTCCAGCCTGGATTTGGTTTCAAAATCACCTTTTTCGACTGCTGCACAGAGGATGACTCCTTCTATTACTATTCCTTCCTGATCTGAAAATACAACTAATGGCAATATTTTTTGTACTTGTAGCATTCAAGGTTCCTTGAAATACCTCTTTCTCGACAACAATGTGCCAGATCCTCAAGTGGTATCAATCACCACAGCTTCTTTGAGTTCAATTGGGCTCTATCAGCTTATGCCAGCTGAGAATCTGAACTCATATTTTGCTTAAAAGTTCCATTCTGAGTTTCCTTCTTGATTTTTGCATTCTTATATTGGATACTCAACATGCAAAACTCTAAAACCCATGTGAATGGGTAGAATTCGATGGGTAAAATCTAGCAAAACTTCCATGAAGCCAGGATTTCACTCTATAATCTGAAAAGAGGTTTATTAAGGATCTTATGTGGTAGAAGAGCAACACGTGTACTGATCTAGTGTTCAATGGATATGCAAAAACAGTGCAAATTAAATGTGCAGAAAGGGTGAGACAAGCAGGCACTAACAGAAATATGTAAAATAAAGCATCACCATTTATATCACTGTATATTTTCCTTTTTAATGCATAGTTTTAGACATTCTATGTACAGAATCCACTAAAATTGTTATTTGGTTTGTTGCTGTAAAATAATTTCTTTATAATTATTGCAAAAAGGTGAAAAACACAATAGGATACAATGGATATTTTACACAATATCCAAACTACTAATCTGGGTTTGACGGTTAAAGTGACTTGACCTAACAATAACTATGGTTGGACCTCCTTGTCCAACACCCTCAGGATCTGACTAGTCCTGAACGAGGGAAATTGCTGGGGCAGGAGTGCTCTACTGCCACCAACCCATTGACACTCCCTGCTGCTGGCTTTGCTTCCAGCGCAGTCAGCTCCCTTGCCTCTGGCCCGACTGGGTGGCCAGCCCCAGACCTCCAACCACCAGGCCCAGCCAGCCATGACTGCTGTGGGCTCTCAGCTCTGCTGCTGTGGGCTGCTGGACCAGGGGCTGCTGGTTTCAGTTGGAGCTTCTGAACCAGAGAGTCCCAGCTTAGGGAGGTACAACTTATCCACACTTTCTTAAAGATTTCCCCTCTTTCAGGAAACATTTTCTACATAAATGTTAAAAGACATTTGGGCCAACTGGCAATTGTTCATTGTTACTTGCCATTTGGAAGTTAGTGTTTCCTTCTAGGTAAAACAGAAAGACAATTGGTTACTTTCAAAATGATAAAATACAAACTTATATATGATCAAGTTTAATTTATTTATAATAAGTATATTGACAAAACTCATTATTTTCAGCTAGAAGACTGATTTTGGGAAAAGACCAAAAGTGTTATTCTGTAACTTTTCACCCAATTACCATTCCAAGTGAAAAGCTTATCTTAATGATCCCAGTCTCTGAAAATTCCCACTGGATTTGATATGAAAGACAACCTGCTCTACAACACAACATCTAAAATTGAACACTACATCTAAAAACGACTGAAACAACTGAAAATATTTTACTTTGAATTTGCCCGATGATGGATTTTTGTTGGTCCATACAGAAAAAGCAGTAAACTAAACATTTTTTATTCACTCAGTGTCTCTCTTCTGCATATTGCTGGATCATATACATGATAAATGTATTTTATCATTTTGAAAGTAACCAATATAGTGCCCATTTATAAAAAGGGAAATAAGAACAACCCAGGAAACTACAGACCAGTTAGTTTAACTTGTGTATCAGGGAAGATAATGGAGCAAGTAATTAAGGAAATCATCTGTAAACACTTTGAAGGTGGCAAGGTGATAGGGAACAGCCAGCATGGATTTGTAAAGAATAAATCATGTCAAACCAATCTGATAGGTTTCTTTGATAGGATAACAAGTCTTGTGGATAAGGGAAAAGCGGTTGGTGTGGAATGCCTAGACTTTAGTAAGGCGTTTGATACGGTCTCGCATGATATTCTTATCAATAAACTAGGCAAATACAACGCCCCTTGCATGCCACCCATGCTGCATTTACATGCGGATCCACAGGTCCAGCCGCTTGCAGCTCCTGTTGGCCAATGGGAGCTGGGGGAAGTGACGTGGACTGGGACACCGCCTCCCGCAGCTCCCGCTGGCTTGGCTGAAAACACAGCACAGGACATGTGGTTTACGTCATTCAAAATGACCTGGACAAACTGGAGAAATGGTCTGAGGCAAACAGGATGAAGCTTAATAAGGACAAATGCAAAGTGCTCCACTTAGGAAGGAACAATCTGTTTCACACATACAGAATGGGAAGTGACTGTCTAGGAAGGAGTCCTGCAGGAAGGGATCAAGGGGTCACAGGAGGCCGCAAGCTAAATATGAGTCAACAGAGTGACACTGTTGCAGAAAAAAGCCAACATGATTCTTGATGCATTAAGAGAAATATTGTAAGCAAGACGCAAAAAGCCATTCTTCCATTCTACTCTGTGCTGGTTAGGCCTCGGTTGGAGTATTGTGTCCAGTTCTGGGCACCGCATTTCAAGAAGGATGTGGAGAAATTGGAGAGGGTCCAGAGAAGAGCAACAAGAATGATTAAAGGTCTAGAGAACATGACCTATGAAGGAAGGCTGAAAGAATTGGGTTTGTTTAGTTTAGAAAAGAGAAGACTGAGGGAGGACATGATAGCCCTTTACACGTATCTAAAAAGGGAGGAGGGAGAAAACTTGTTCATCTTGGCCTCTAAGGATAGAACAAGAAGCAATGGGCTTAAACTGCAGCAAAGGAGGTTTAGGTTGGACATCAGGAAAAAGTTCCTAACTGTCAGGGTAGTCAAACACTGTAATAAATTGCCCAGGGAGGTTGTGGAATCCCCATCTCTGGAGATATTTAAGAGTAGGTTAGATAAATGTCTATCAGGGATGGTCTAGACAGTATTTGGTCCTGCTATGGGGGTAGGGGACTGGACTCAACCTCTCGAGGTCCCTTCCAGTCCTCGTATTCTATGATTCTCCTCCAATCAGGCTGTGTGGAACTTAATAGTTCATTTCACTGAGGGCATGGCCCACTATGATAAAGAAGGTGGGGAAAAGTAACAGCATTTGTCCTACAATGTTACATTTTCCAGGACATAAATGTATGACAAGGTAAAAGGGTTTACAAAAATATTTTTGGAATTTCTGACATGTCATTAGTGAGCAAAATGAATAGAAACAATAGAATTTTAAATCTTTTAAAAATATAAAGCAAATAAAGTAATAGTAGAGAAATGATTTCAACACAACCTTCTTTAGGACAGCTATATTTCAACTGAGTTTATGTATAATAAACTTCTGGGATTAGAGTGAGAAGTAGTGGTGTAAGTCTAATAAGACATTCTACAAAAGTAGATTTTGGAATTCAGAAGAAATCTAATTTGGCACCAAATCTAGCAAACTGTTGTGCATAAGTGAGTAAGAAAAGTTTTGAACTATAAAATGAGCTGTCTAATAGTCATGCAGATTATTCATTCAGCTGTAATACTAGCAAAATACCAATATGAGGCCATATGTCCCTGGCAGACCTTAAGTGGTTAGCATCTGCAAGTGGCCACAGTTTATGAAAATGTATATGCCCCACACTCTAGCACCCATGAATTTAATTATAGCTTTTGACAAAAATCTCAAAATCCTGTGGGATGTTTCAGACTATGTATGTATATAGTTTGCAATCTATTAGTTGCCATAATGCAATCACAAATGTTTGCATACGTGTTATATTCTAATAAATAACAGCTTTTTAATTTTAATATATAGTGCTGTGCCAGTCCAATGGTATGGTCTCACTTTTCTTTGAAAAATGCCTTTATGATTTATTTACAACTGTGACTGAATTAACTATGAGAGATGTACAGGTTGTCATGAACCTATTTGTTGCTATTCCTTATACTATCTTGCAGTACAAATGAGGCTCTTGCTGAAATACTTGGTTTCACAATGTCAATACTTTTCATAGCCACACCCAAGTTACATCCCTGTTTCTTAGACATAGGCTATGCCCATCTCAATCCCTCCACCAGTATCTTATATCACCTTCTATATAATCCTCTCATTCTACTGCATCGCTCCACACATACTGCTGATCTGAATTTAGCCTACATTTTATAAAGAGTTTTCACCCAGATTAGGTTAAATTGCTTTTCAAAGATCTGCTGATATAGTTTGACAACACTCATTATAGACAAACCATCAGAGGATATGTATGTGGGTTGGAAGAGAGGTCTAGCCAAGAGTAACATAAGCCTCAAAGCAGCAGTGCTTACAGGTGGCAGGGTGAAC